CTGGAGCTCCCTAGTTGGGATGCTGCCCCTGCGACCCGGACCCGGATAAGCGGAGGAAGATGACGACGACAAACCTTAATTGCATTTGTAGTCCTGGACATATTTTCACACAAAACGTAGAATAAAGTTTGAAAATAAGTGTTTTCTGGTTATCAAAATGTGTCTTTAAAGTTCACGGACATCATACGTGAAATGCATGGCACACAACAAACAGTATTCAAAAATAGCATTTTTAGCTCCGTTGACTTGCATTTTCATTTATCGTTCTTCTGGGGACCCGTGGTCTGGATAAGATGGGTGTGACTTGGGGTCCCTATGGGTGGGCTATGTCCATCATTTTTATATATCGATGGTTATTAGTGAAGATAAAACATAAACATTGCAGAGCAAACAGAATCAGTGGTAGAGTCGCATCGGCCAATCAGAGGAGAGATGTCCAAATATCAGGAAATAAGACTGATGTGGCATTCTGCTAGTTGCTGAAACTGGCTAATTCCATTTTTGGTTCTTTTTTAAAACACAGATAAGGTTTTTCTTTACCTTGCTGATGGTTGTGTTTGCGGCTTCATACATCTTCAGAGCTGACGCTGATGGTAGCGTTACTTCCTTCTGAGTTTATCCGCGGGCAGCAGAGGGCGACAACGTCAAATGACAAAATTATTAAAAATGGACCTGGTCAGCTGGTCACTCATCGTGATTGACTAAATTTTCTCAACGATGAGAACGGAAGAAGGGGCTCCTCTGGGACAGACCCAGTTGGGCACATCATGGACTCCTGGAAACAGCGGAACCTGATCTGCCTCTCTCAACTGTCTGTAGAAGATTCTGAAGACGTCTGGATATTCGTGGTGTTGGTGTCGGGTTTCCTGCTCTTTGGCCTTGGAGGTTTCCTGACTTACCGGAAAATTTACGAGCTGTCGAGGAATATTGGCTCACTCCCGGAGCTCAGAGATGGTTTGCACCACCCTGTGAATTCACAAACTCACATAATTGTCGAGATGAATCGTAAGCTTGGAACTTTGGCCGAGATTCAGGCTCTGGCAAAAAAGATGGATGCCATCAAGGAGAGAGTGGGCGAATCAGCACGGATTGGGATAGATTAATGTCCATTATTGGGATTTTGAGAGGTTGAGGACCAAGAAACTCTAACCCCTTCTTTCCACGGGAGCCGTCAGCAGCACGTCTTGCTCGCGTAAGATGCTGCTTGGCCCTTCCCACGAGACGCGTAGCAGCAGGGGAGCAGCTGTCACCGACAGAGCACGAAGCCACACGAGTGACTTCGTCAGTAAACACAACAAGCAGGAGAAAATTACAACATGGCTCCAGAATGTTTGTGTTTGATGTTCTGTCCGTTTTATAATCGCCAATACGGACCTGAAAAACAAGAGACCGCTAGCTAGGTGATAACTTCTCACGGGGCCGCACAGTTAGTAACTTTTTTTTTTAAGTAAAGCAACCGGGAGGCAGTACATTTTTTTATTCTGAAAATCTCGGGAGCTTTGCTCCATTTCCGCGTTCGATTTCCTGTCTTTCCTTCCCCAAAAATGCCGAACTTGACCCGTTTCAGAGGCGTAACACGTAGAAAATAGAACCGCCGCATAAAGGCCGCGACATGCTGCTCCTGAGACGCGGCCAACTCGCGCTGCTGACGGCTCCGGTGGAAAAGGTTCTGTTGACCACAGCGGTTCCTATCAGCAGCTATGACGTGCTGCTGCAGTACCGTGCTCCGGTGGAAAGAAGGGGTAAGACAGAGAGGAAATTATCTCTGTCTGGCCCCAAAACCATTTCTAATCTGAATCTGGTGCCCTTGAGCCTGCTAGGCTCCAAGAAGACTCCCCCCTCAGAAGAATTCAATTCAATTCAATTTTATTTATATAGCGCCAAATCATGACGAGGGAAGCATTCCACAAGAAATGTGGAATGCTGCCGTCGCTATGGCAACTCTGTCTCCTATCCCAGCCTGGGTGGGACTGTGAGCTGTGAAGGCTGCTGAATCGTTCCACGAGTCACTGTGCCCTCCAAACCCCAACAACCTCCCTCCCCTGTCCAGACTGAGGTGACGAGCGCTGCTTATCGCGGCTGCTGCTGCTGCTGCTGACGTGTGGAGAGTCCCAAAGCCCTACCACCCCACCTAGTGGACACTTATGTGGTGTGATGTCTGAAGTCTGTTGCATATCTGCCTGAGGTGTTTTTTTGCAGAGCAAAGCTGCCCTCCCTGTGGAGGGTAACTCTGAAGTGCCGTTTTTTTCCCTCCACCTGAACTAATCCTCATGTAACCCTCTTATCTCTATTAAGGTAGCGCGACTCAGGTTGCGAATGACCACAGTCACCAATTCTTGTCATGTGTCTTGCCCATGTATGTCTGATCTCTGAATTGTGTTTACTGAAACTCTAATTTCCCTCTGGGATTAATAAAGTATCTTTGAATTGAATTGACTCAGCGTCAGCTCTGAAGATGTTTGCAGCTGCAAACGAAACCGTCAGCAAGGTAAAGAGAAACCTTATCTGTGTTTTGAAAACGAACAAAAAATGGAATTAGAAGACAAACACGGCAAGAACGTACAAAAGATGAAACAGGCTCATCTGAGCTTTTTTCCCTAGATTATGACTTGCAAGGCATTCGTTCCTACGAGACCTTTGCAAACATATTGAATGAAGAGTTGAACCATGCCTTTAAAGAAACTTAAGAAACTATAAACTTGTAGGAGCTGTGCCCTGCAGCTGGCAGACAGCTTTTGTTTTATTTTCATACGTCTTTGGTTGGACTTTGTCATCGTTTCTGTCCTCAAAAGCCAAACCGCTCAGTCACTGAGGGACTTCAGGCTTGTAGCTCTGACCTCGTTTGCAGTGAAGTCATCCTAAAAAAGGATCCTCTTATCCAGAGTTAAAGGCCATGAAGGAAAGCAACAGCAACTATTCTAAATATGATTGTAAAACATCTAATGCCAGGTTCAAAGACACTGAGCTACAAACTGGTGTCGTCGATGTGGGAGTTACTGTGTTCCCATCACAATCCAAGATAGATTATCAGGCAACATATTCTCCTTGAACAGTTAGTTTTTACTGTTGCGTCGTCTCTGTTTAAATATCTAATTAAAGGGACTTTACGGAGTTTTGAATTTTTATGCTCGTGATCGCCCCCTCAGGCCAAAAGTGTAAAGGCCGCTTCAATAGTAGGCTCGTGCACGAGGCGCGCATGCTGTACGTGCACACTCCTTAACGAAAATAACAGCTGAGACAGTCCCTTGTGTGTGTGTGTGTGTGTGTGTGTGTGTGTGTGTGTGTGTGTGTGTGTGTGTGGGTGTGTGTGTGTGTGTGTGTGTGTGTGTGTGTGTGCGTGTGTGTGTGTGTGTGTGTGTGGCCCGGAGGACAGAGGACAGGAGAACGCACAGCTAATTAATTAAATAATTTGGTTCTGTAGCTTTCTCTTCAGCACAGCCGACAAAAGTTTATGATGGGTCAGTCCTCCTGCATGCTCAGATCATTCCCTTCCCTTGCTTGAAAAATTGTTCCAAAATGAAAGTTGAACCCACATCTTTTTTATCTGTGAATTCAATGCCGTTCGGCAAGTCTCAAATAAAAATTTGGGCGTCTTACTGTAAAAAAAATATACCATTAATGTAAAAAAGAAGCTCTAAATAAACTATGTTCACATCCAGACTCTAACCCAGGACTTCTGCATGAGAGTCAGACGTCTCACTAGGTGAGCTAAAGCACCAGTGACATCCTCTGAATCTGTAACATTTATATCCTTGAAGACAGCTGAAACAACGTTCAAAGAACGGTTCGGAGTGAAAATGGCTATTTTGTTGCTAATTAGCAGGAAATATCTAGAAGAAAGTTCTCCAGAAAGTAGCTAAGGGTCCTCAGAAATGTAGCTAGCTTTGTCACTAGGCGTTAGGAACAGCGACAAAGTGGCACTGCCTCTCTCTCTCTGCTGCTAAAGCTACGGATAGCAAATGCTACGGGCGATGCCTGAGCGTGAACGCGCATGAAGCAGCCTGCTCGACCCGAGCATCTCTCTTTTTCTGTGATTTTACAGAAAAACAGGCAATCACAGTAAAAATGCCAGGGCTCATTCTACAGGACCAGGGCATTGCAGGAGAATGTATGAAGAAGACATTTATTATTTCTATACATGTTTTAGCTGTCACACTTCCATAATGTCCCTTTAAATGTTGAACTTGTTCTGAGGAAACTCCGAGAACGTGATCAGGACTCGATTGTTTTAAGAGCAACTCAAAAGGGCCGCTGCAATAAGTCACATTAACAAACACAGAAAGGATTTGTTTGGATTATTTTGATTCTAACAAAAAAAGAGTTGAGGAACATAGTTTTGTGACTCAGCAGAGAACAGACTCCAGGCTGCCGCTGAAGGGAGCTAATTAAACTTTCATGTCTCATTAATCCCAGGACCCAGTCAAACTTGACTTTGGTGGTTTCCTCCTCACAAACCCACAGGGTGCCTCCTTCTTCTGTGTGTGTGTGTGTGTGTGTGTGTGTGTGTGTGTGTGTGTGTGTGTGTGTGTGTGTGTGTGTGTGTGTGTGTGTGTGTGTGTGTGTGTGTGTGTGTGTGTGTGTGTGTGTGTGTGTGTGTGTGTGCGTGCGTGTGTGTGTGCGCGTGTGTGTGTGTGCGTGTGTGTGTGCGCACGTGCGTGTGTGTGTGTGCGCGCGCGTGCGTGTGTGTGTGCGCGCGCGTGTGTGCGTGTGTGTGTGTGTGTGTGTGTGTGTGTGTGTGTGTGTGTGTGTGTGTGTGTGTGCGTGCGTGCGTGTGTGTGTGTGTGCGTGCGTGCGCGTGCGTGCGTGCGTGCGTGCGTGCGTGCGTGCGTGTGTGTGTGTGTGTGTGTGTGTGTGTGTGTGTGTGTGTGTGTGTGTGTGTGTGTGTGTGTGCGTGCGTGCGTGCGTGCGTGCGTGCGTGCGCGCGCGCGCGTGCGCGCGTGCGTGCGTGCGTGCGTGCGTGCGTGTGTGTGTGTGTGTGTGTGTGTTCAGAGGCGACTCACCTCCTTGGCCTTGTTTCGGCTCCTCATGTTCTCCGCTATGTACTTGACGCTGTCGATGGCCTGTTTGATCTCGGGCGACACCACGGAGAAAGCCATCACTGTATTAATGTTCTGAGGACTCCGCTGGCTTTTCGTCTTCCCAGAGTCCGACGTATCTGGGGTCTCCCTCGCATGCTGGCAGGGGCAGGAGCAGTTGTTTCCAGTGCAGCCCTCCATTGACGAGAGGTTACTGTCTCCAAACTCCAAACAGTTGAGGGATCCTCCTCCGACCTGCTGAGTAAAAAAAGCAAAGCTCAGCGTCTACCTAGTGTGGTAATATGCAGGTATTGGAGGAAGGATTCAATACCTGCATCAAACTATTCTTCCTCTTCTTCCTTCCTTTACCTCCTCCTCCGCCTCCTCCTCCCCCTCCAGCTCCCCCTGCTTCCCCACTGCTGTCCAACCACCCGGCCTTGCCATCCTCATCGATCGGTCTTCGCATCAGCATGATCCTCGGCAGCACTTTGAGGAACACGGACCGCACCCAGCACGGCATGGTGTGGGTCATGGGTGTGCGGTAGTGTACATTCAGCACAAACACGGTGATGACGATGCTGAGTGTGACGAAGATCATGGTGAAGAGCAGGTACTCTCCGATGAGCGGGATGACCAGCGATGTTGAGGGGATGGTCTCTGTGATGACGAGCAGGAACACAGTGAGGGAGAGCAGGACGGAGATACAGAGCGTGACCTTCTCTCCACAGTCGGATGGGAGGTAGAAAACCAGCACCGTGAGGAAAGAGATGAGGAGGCAGGGGATGATGAGGTTTATGGTGTAGAAGAGCGGCAGGCGGCGGATGTAGAAGGAGTAGGTGATGTCTGGGTAGATCTCCTCACAGCAGTTGTACTTGATGTCATGTTTGTAGCCAGGAGCATCGATGATTTCCCATTCCCCGCTTTCCCAGAAATCCTTTAAGTTCACCTAAAAAAATAATAAACAAGCTTCATCTAAACGGCGTTAGAGTCAACCACCCACCGATATCAGTTCATTCATTAAATAACTGAATTAGCTCTTATCCATCCGTCCATCCAGCAATCCTCTTCCACTTATCCGGAGGCAGGTCACCGGGGCAGCAACCTAAGCAGAGAGGCCCAGACTTCGCTCTGCTCAGCCACTTGGGCCAGCTTCTCTGGGAGGATCCCAAGGTGTTCCCTGGCCAGCCGAGAGACATAGTCCCTCCAGCGTGTCCTGGGTCTCCTTTAAGTCTCCTCCCGGTTGAACGCACCCTGAAAACCTCGCCAAGGAAGCATCCTAACCAGAGGCCCGAGCCACCAACTGGCTCCTCTTGACGTGGAGGAGCAGCGGGTCTACTCCAAGCCCCTCCCGGATGACAGAGCTTCTCTCCCTATCTTTAAGGGAGAGCCCAGCCACCCTGCTGAGAACTCATTTCGGCCGCTTGTATCCGCGATCTCGTTCTTCCGGTCACTACCCAAAGCTCATAACCATAGGTGAGGGTAGGAACGTAGATCGACCGGTAAATCGAGAGCTTCGCCTTCTGACTCAGCTCTCTCTTCACCACGACAGACCGGTACAACGCCCGCATCACTGCAGATGCAGCACAAATCCGCCTATCGATCTCACGCTCCAGTTTTCCCTCACTCGTGAACAAGACCCCGAGATACTTGAACTCCTCCACTTGGGGCAGGACCTCATCCCTGACCCGGAGAAGGCATTCTGCCCTTTTCTGAATCAAGACCATGGTCTCAGATTTAGAGGAGCGGATTCTCATCCCAGCTGCTTCACACTCGGCTGCGAACCGCTCCAGCGAAAGCTGAAGATCACGTTCTGATGAAGCCAATAGGACCACATCATCCGCAAAAAGCAGAGACCTGATCCTCAGGCCACCAAAACGGATGCCCTCCACACCTTGGCTGCACCTAGAAATCCTGTCGACAAAAGTTACGGTGACAAAGGGCAGCCTTGGCGGAGTCCAACTCTCACTGGGAACGAGCCCGACCTTCTGCCGGCAATGCGGACCAAGCTCTCACACCGGTCATACAGGGACCTAACAGCCCGTATCAGAGGGCCTGGTACCCCATACTCCCGGCGTACCCCCCACAGGGCCCCCGAGGGACGCGGTCAAACGCCTTCTCCAAATCATCACACTCGGCTGCGAACCGCTCCAGTGAGAGCCGGAGATCCCGTTCTGATGAAGCCAACAGGACCACATCATCTGCAAAAAGCAGAGACGCAATCCTCAGGCCACCAAAACGGATGCCCTCCACACCTTGGCTGCACCTAGAAATCCTGTCGACAAAAGTTACGGTGACAAAGGGCAGCCTTTAAAACAACAACAGAAGGATAAAAGGAGAGCGTGCGTGCGAGTGCAAACTTAAGATTACCTTAAACTCATTTTGGTAATTGTGCGCAATCTTACGATTACTTAGAAGGTGCAGGGTTGGTGAAACATTGGTAGATTTGTGCTGTGTGAAAACCTACACAGATGTTTAGGTTTTTCTGTTCACATCACTGATTCTGAGGCTAAACTTCAGCCATGAGGAGAGACAAATGGTTAAATTGATCTAATATGTCCGACAATTTAAAAAAAAGTGCAATAATGTTTCCTGTATCGTCTAGTTGTGTGATGTGAATCACAAGTTTTAGACTTCTGTCCTCAGGACTCTGGGGAAGGTAGGGGCGCCCTTTTGGAACAAAAACAATGCATAAACCAGCCTCACTGACATGTTTAAACCACGAGTAAAGACGTTTTTTAGGCTGGAGTGGAAGAATTGTTTTTTCTTTTACATCGACTCCATCGCTGGCTTGGGGACTGACCTTGGATCCAATAAGTAAAAGGTCGATCTTGGCCTTATCGTAAGTCCAAGAGCCAAACTTCATGGAGCAGTTCTGATAGTCAAACGGGAAGTAAGTGATGTCCATCGGACACGAGGATTTAAAGATAGCAGGAGGAACCCAGGTGATGGTTCCATCAAACTTCAGCAAGGCCTTGGTCTTATCCTCCACCAGGAAGTCCCCTACAGCACTGGGAGGTGTGTGTGTGTGTGTGTGTGTGTGTGTGTGTGTGTGTGTGTGTGTGTGTGTGTGTGTGTGTGTGTGTGTGTGTGTGTGTGTGTGTGTGTGTGTCAGAGAAGAAAAGGTGTGAGAAGTTATTAAAAATCATCATCAAATGCATTGGAATGATGCAAATAATATGGGAAAGCAAAGATGTCACACAATGAAATATAAGAAGAAAATAAAAAACAATAAAAGTCAGATTCAAAGAACTAAAGGAGTTTGGTAAAAACAATAAAGCACCATTCTTGTTTGCATGCACTAACACACACACACACACACACACACACACACACACACACACACACACACACACACACACACACACATTGCTCTGGATTAAACGGTCTCACTTGTTGTAAAGAACTATGTCGGGTCTCCAGATCTTGTTTGATGGAACTCTGATGAACTCAATCCCATCAAACTCAGCTGGCGTCCATCGCAGCTTGTAGTCGTTCCAGATCTGAACAAGAAGAGAGCATCAGGCTGTTTGTCTAGTCGTTAAAGACATCTGAGTCATAGAAGTTAAAGGGACAGTTTTGCTTGCTTTTAGCACCCTCTAGTGTCCTTTATTAATTCTCTGTGGTCAAACCGAGAATGAAACTCGTCTCCTCGCTGTACGTTCGACCTTTTTAACACTTTACTCTTACAGCTGAAACATCTCCCTGGCCTTCATTAGTGTCTACAGGAGTGATTCATCACTAACCGAAACAAATCAGCTGAGTTCATGATCTAAAACATAAAGGAAACGTGCTGGAAGCAGACAGTAGGACCAAGTATAAGTCCCAACAGAGCGACCCGCCACTCTGAAGTCGCAAATGCGGTATTCTGGCCACAGAGAGCGGTAGGAATCTGAGTGGCATCTCATTAACCCGGCTGGTATCCAGCACATTCTGGTTTTAACCCTGCTTCAACAAACCTGGTTTCAGTCAGTGGCGGCTCCAGAAATGTTTTTCTGCAGGTGCTATGAAGGAGCTAGTCTTTTTATTGAGGGTGCTATGAAGGAAGTGGTCATGCGTACCGGAAGTTATGGTGCAACTATGGTTCTGTGAGTTCCTGGATGACTGCCAGTCACAGGGGTCACTCGGAACTTCTTGGGCGAGAAGATCCCAGGAGACCCGAACGTAGCTATCACCGCATAATTTAAAGACTCGCGACCAGGTGCGGTACGTGTCACGTGCGTGACTTTGTTTACATTAGTACTCGACCTGCGCAGCGCGCGAGGAGATACATCCACTCTGTTTACTGCCACTGGCAGTCAGGAGGGAACGAAACAGAACTATTGTTCTCTAAAACACCTTCAACACTAGCAGATACACACGCGTGCACAACACCTCAACAACACCTGAAACAATCATTAATATGCATCATAAACATATGAACAATCGCTGACGTTTCCATGAAATCATAAACACATACAGCCACACAGAAAACCATCTATAGTGTTGCAAGGTTAGCTAACGTTAGCGTTAGCATTTCCAGCGGCAAAACCCTGGACTGCTGCGGCGGTCGAGGGTTGACTCTCTTCATCCAGATCCGTAGGTTTTTGTGGGTCTGAGATCACTTCCAAACATTCATTCGTTTCTGACTGAACCCGTGGAAATGTGGGCAACAAAAACCGATCCATCTTACCGCTAGCTCTACCTTTCACTCGTTCACAGCATCGACATATTGTCATGATCCGCCCTGGCCTCCCTGACTGTGTCTCTCCTGCCCTGATTAGCCTTATTGTTCTCACCTGTCCCTGATTACTCTGCCCATGTGTTCCTGATTCCCTTGTGTATTTATACCTCCCTCCTTGTTGCTGTCTTTGTCGGTTCATTGTCGCTTGTGCATGTTCGTTCGTCCTGTTGCTCCCGTCCTACAATTAAACATCTTTTTATTTTTTCATCCGTCTGCCTGATCTTCTGCCTCCTGAAACCCACCACCACACATGGTCTGCCATCTCCACCCGCAGAACATGACAGATATATACACAGGTGGAAAATGAGGTCAAAGGTTAACATCAATTTCCTGTTTTGTTTAAGTTTTTACTATCTAGATGATAATTTACTGATTATTTTTGTTTTGTATGTTAAATATTAACACATCCACACGTTAAATTAAAATTAAATTGTAAAAAAAAAAAATCTAATATTTACTTGGGAGTGCTATGACTAATCCAGGTGTAGCTATAGCGCCCCCCCCTGGCGCCGCAGCTGATTTCAGTCATCAGGTGATCAACAGGCTTCTGCAAAGCCTGATGAGCTGCTACACAGGTGACTCAACCACTGAATCAAGCGTGTTGGACCAGAGAAACCACTAAAACATGCTTACCGGCCCTCGAGGCCCGGAATTCGAATAGCCGTGCTGTAAAGTGTCGTTTTAGCACATACTGGCCCAACAAGATCATTTAAAAATATGAAAAAATGGCAAAGAATGGCTTTAAACTCAAATTTGCTCCCTAACAGTAAAACGATTGCCTTTTATCCTGCTGAGCATCGGGATTCTTTAAACACAACGTTCTGATGTCAATAGCTGACTTGATGATGCTCCTTTTGGGGAAATTGAAATCAGAAACATCTACATCAGTCCCACCTTTAAGGAGCTGCTCAGAGACAGAGACGGGATGCGTCACCGACGACAGAAGCAGTGCGTCCACTTGCTATTCTGTCAACACGCCTGGAGCTGACGCTTTATGAGCCGTGCAGCCATTAGTCTTGGTTGTTTAAATTTCATTCAAGATGAATTTATTCATTAGCAGGTGGATTAATACTCAGTTCTTACCTGGGAGATTTTTAATTAACCACGTCATGCTACACTGGCTTTTCCATTTATCCATCCAGGGAGTTTACATGATTGGCTGGATTGCTCTTCATAAAGGATGTAGATTACTGCAGCCGTTAGAGCTAAGTGGAAGGCTGCGGCTGAAACCTGCAGGTTAATCTGGGTTAGATTAGACAAAGTCTTCTGACGTGTTAAAGACCTTAAAGAGATTATAAGAAAAGGGTTTACAGATGAACAAATCTATATTATTTTCAGGAATTCTCACAAAATGAAACATCAACAGTCCGGATTTGTGTTGAATGTGTCTGAAAATGTCTCTCAGAGACGGAGAGACAGTCTCGGAGTTTGAGTCCCTCAGAATTCGCTGATCTTCTGATTTTTTTTTTTCCAGAAGACATATTGGATCAAATCAGACAAGAAACAGATTCATTTAAGAGAAAACGTCAAATAATCGTGTATCTAAGAATGTTTTTAGAAAATGTCAAACAGAATTTTTTTTACAGATTAGATCAAAAAGAAAGAAGATTAAAATATCTTCTAATTTCAAGAAAAAGAACGTACCTTTATTATTTATTAATTCCTTTTTGAGAAACTTTTCGTACCACCGTTAATGTTTTGGTAGAAAAATCTTCATTATTGTGTGTGGGGGCGTGGCCTCTGAGTTTTTTTCCTGAGCTTTGAACAAAAAAAACAGGTTTTGACTTTAGTTGTTTTTTTATTGCTTATTTATTTACTTAATATATCAACAAGCAAACAAAAGCTGTTCCTGATCTCTGAGGCGATGCTTTGGAACGCAGAGACGGGAGATGAGAACTAAAACCTCGGATCTGATAAACCTCTCATCATGAACCCTGACTCGACCCTTCGACTTTAAACCAAAAAGCAAATATTTCTCCTTTGTGTTTGTTCACGTGGGACAACAATGTAGGGTTAAGAAATTAAAATAATGACATCAATGTAATATTAGCTTTTTTATTCCTTGCTTTATGTTTTTAGTTCTGTTCAGCGCACCCTGTTGCAAGATGGAGACTAAAATGAGCTCCAACGAGCCGCTAACCTGCCAGATAAAAGGTTAATGAGTAATTATCCAGTAATAATATCAGAAATGTTTCCACCTTAAATAAATCTATGGATTCTGCGTAGACTCAGGCTCACACGTGAGCGTGCAGGGTTAGGGCTGATTCGGATTCATTTGCTTTTTACGTCTCCTTATTTGTTTCATCATTACTTTATTCCTAAAGCCTAAAGCTGTGTGGAAACTGCAGGTACTTCTGTAGCTCCAACCGCCCCCGTAGAGCATTTATCACACGTCTGCTTAAATGCATACTCACATGTCTGAGCCATAAGTTCGTTTCCATGATCTGATTCACTTCGTCCTGCAGAGAGACACAGAAGAAGGAGAGCGAATTCCTGTGTTTGTGTTGCTGCTGAAGTTTGTGAAATGAGAATAAAAGCTTCTGTGTTGTTTTTAGTCTGAAAAGCTCATAAATCAGCTCAGTAATACATGACGTCACCGTCTCTCTGTCCTCCTTCATCAGATTCTCACAAATTAGCCACCCCCACAAGCCTCACACACATCCTGAGCACTAGAGCACGATGCGTGCATCCGTGCACCCACACCGACACGTGCACGCCGGCACACTCACCTTCACACTAATCCAGCCCCGCCTAACAGGCCGATGTAGCTACGACTCAGTCCAGTCTGAAAAGGCTCCTGCAGGCTATTTCCTCCTAATCTCAGATTTTTCTTCAGGTCAGGTCTATAAAACCTCCTTTCACAGTGAAATATGCAGCCCCCCCCCCCCCCCCCCCCCCCCCCCGTGCAGTGTTTTTGGGATGCATGAAATTGAGGAGATTAAGTGAAGACATGATTCACTTTCCACATGAACTTCTGTTGTGGTGACGCTTATCTTTTCAGCTTTTCCGTTACAGGAGTTGGGAATATGATGAAGATGGCTGGGGGGGAGAAACAGCTCCGAACACAAATGCAAACTTACAACTTTAACCAGCTGAGAGATGGAGACCTCAAACTCCACGGTGACTGGGTCGGACACGTTCTCCACTGGTCTGATGAACTGGTTGTATTGTCTGAAGAGCTTCCGGAACAACCGGTCCTCGGCCTTGGATGAGAAGCCGCCTGAGTCATGGATAGAAGGAGCAGGGCGAGGAGTAAGCAGACGGACAAAAGCAGAGGAAACACTTGTTTCTAGAGGGAATTGAGAGTCGTGTTTCAATGCACAAACATCCAGTTCCAAAAATCTAAGAAAACGAAGCTTCAGCTTTTAATTTAGATGCAGCTTTGTGACGTTAATCCTTCTGGGATTAAACATCTCTGATATTTGATGAAGCAGCTATTAAGATGTCTCTGTAATCTTCTGCTGAGTTAGAATTATGTCATTGAAATTGTGAGACATCGGCTCTAAATAGGTGCAATAATTCAGAAACCTCTTTGCCTCATTTGTTTATAATATAAGTAACCAAAAACATTTAAATTTCCTATTAATAAAATATTAAATTAACTGATATTTGTGTTTTTTCACTGACCTTGTTGAGGTTTTGCACCACAGCCGTGTTGGTCCAGCGTGAAACTTTTATTTGTGCTAATTAAATAAAAAATGGTTTTCTGATCAGTTTTGTTCCAAAATCCAAAACTAAACAGGCAGCTGGAGCGCTGGACTTTCTTTCAAGTTGTGGGAAACTGGTTTCATCAATACATTTGCAGTGGTCTTTGGTAGGAATGAATGCCTTGCAAGCCTTACTTGAGGCGAAAAACGCCCAGAAACGGCTTCCTTAGCAGGGACGAGACTGTCGATTAAGATAGAGGGGGAGGAGGTGGAGGTAGTCACTAAGTACAAGTACCTTGGGCTGTGGGTGGACATTAAACTGGACTGGTCATGCAACACAGACCACCTGTATAAGAAAGCCCAAGGCCGACTGTACTTCCTCAGGAGGCTGAGGTCTTTTAACATCTGCAGGAAGCTCCTAAGGATGTTTTACGAGTCAGTGGATGCTGGAGTACTTTTTTTTTGCTGTGGTGTGCTGGGGGAGTGGCTCAGCGAAGAAGGACACATCTAGGCTGGAGAAGCTGATCAGGAAGGCAGGCTCTATGGTCGGCATGAAACTGGACACGTTGGTGTCGGTGGCAGAGGAAAGGACACTAAAAAAACTGCTTGACATCATGGACAATGCTGGGCATCCTCTGCACACGGCCATAAACAAACAGAAGAGTCTGTTCAGTGAAAGGCTGCTTCTCCCCAAGATAAGAACTAACAGACTTAAAAACTCCTTTGTCTCACACGCCATCAGACTGTATAACTCCTCTCTGGAGGGGAGAGGGAGGAGAAACAGGAGGACAAAGGAGGGGGGGGGGGGGGGGGGGGGGGACACCGAAGCTGTGGTGACTCTTCACTTCACTGTGCACTACCTTCTATGCAAGTACCTTTGTTAAACAGTCAAATTTTGGTTTAATAGTCAACGGTGCTAAGAACTTTGATATCTGGAAGGTGCAATTCAATTGTATTTTTATCTTTATTTCTATTTTTTTATTATTATATAACATTTTCTGACGCTCTGTAACTCCTGTCGGTGTTGTGCTGCTTTTTTTGGAAACCGCATTTCCCAAAGGAACTCACCCGAGGGATTAATAAAGTTCTATCTTATCTTATCTTATCTTATCTCTCGCGTCAGAGGGGAGCTTAACACGGCACGATCTGGAGTCTTCTTGCTTTGGATTGGTTAACAGCCACACGACTCCACCACTGACTCCGTTTGCTCTGCAGCGTAGATGTTTTAGCTCCGCAAAAACCGAGTTCCTGCCATGGGATTGAGTTGCTAATGCTAACGGTTAGCTTCTGCTAGACGTTCTCCGCTGATTCTGGATGCCAAAACAGCAACAGCCTTCCCTGTCTCGAGCCAGTTTGGTTGAGTCCAAGCAACCGCTTGGCGTAGATCTGTCTGGCTTGTCTAATCCCAGAGTGTCACCGTCTGTTTTCTGTCAGAAGCTACTGCAGGAGATAGGTGTAGGAGACTATTTTCATGTTCATCCTGCATGAAACACTCAGAGTGACCGATTATAATCAAATATAATCATTAGACATTGGTTCTTCAGCTTCACCTTTAACCCTTACCTCACATTAGAGCATTTTTTTGTGCTCTAATGACTTTAACGTTAGAAAATTTAAACGTTGGGTAAGGGTTAAAGGGGACATATTGTGCAAAACTCATATTCTGCATCTTTTTGTGCTGCCATGTGGGTCTCTTCTGTCTCTATGAGCAACAAAAGTGTGAAAAATCGATGCATGCCGTTTTCTGTCCGTGTTTAGTTTCAGGAATGATGTGTCTAAAAGAAGCCGTTTGTGACATCACAAATGGGGAAACTACCTCTCACGTTGCGGCCCCTCCCAGACATCGGAGCTTCTCAGCTTATAGCAGCCCGTGCAGGGGTGGGAGGGCGTGGCCAGCTTCCACTTGTTTTTTTTTTAAAGTGAGAGAGCCCTGAAGCAGCTCAGGCAACGTAAAACGTCAAGAATAAAATTGTCCGCTTTAAAGCTTCATTCTGCTTTCAGTTTGTGACTTTTTTCTAACGAATTCCCGAAACTCCGACTCTAGCAGCCTCGGACATGTGTTTGGTTGTGCTCCTGTAAAAAACCTTAGAAGAAATTCTGCCAGCGTTGGCGTTACTGTGGACAGGTGTTCACGTATCCAAGACGTCCAGGGAGAGAAGTAATAAATAAACGAATAGATAACATCTAAATGAGCTGAGACAACCAGCTTCTTCTCTTGATTATAATTCAGTTCTTGTTGACCGATGAGAGAGTTTCATCATCATAAGACACAATTCATCCTGATTAACCTAAATAGGTGTGCATCAGGCTGGGGGAGCTTGTTTGTTGGGAATGTAACTCAAACGTGACAAGTCATGTTAATTAATTTCCCGGGAAGGAACCTGGATCGCCCGAAGCAGGATGTCAGAATGTTGGAAAATGCAGAGGAAGCTATTTTGGCTTCGTGCAGAGGAGGTGCAGACCGTCGCCCCCGGGAAAGGGAGCAGAAAGATGTTTTTA